TGAAATAACATCAAACTTTTAATTTTTCTGAATTGCTAAAATCCAATGTTCTAAAAAGTTCGTCATGGCTCCGCCATGGCGCACCTTGGCTACAAGGTTTATACTTGTCGCCAAGCTTTGACAAAATGTCGTATTAAGTCACATATATGTATAAAAATGAATAAGAGTATAATATATATATATATATATATATATATATATATATATATATATATATATATATATATATATATATAATTATTAATAATATACGAAATTCCCGCCTTAAGTCACGCTTTACAAACGACATGGCTCACCACGGCTCAAAAAAGCTTGAGGCTTGACATTACCGTCAAGTCATGCCTTAGGTTATTTATAACCATACTAAAATCCGTTAATTATAAAAAAAATAGCAGGATGTCGGGAAAATAACAATACGAGAAAATAAAAATCTATAAAAATTAAATGAACATAAAGAAAAGCCACTAAAAACAGGGTGGAAAAAGATCAATCTACAAAGAAAAAAATAGCACTCTACTTTGACAATATAAAACAATAGCACCAAAACCTTAGCATCTTTGTTTGAAATAAAAAACCATTTCTTGCTTTTTCTTGTTGAGATTTTTGGAAATAGAAATCTACTTGTAGTTGTCTTCACCCTTCCCGGGATTTATGAAACTCCTCCACACTTTATCGGTTATCAAAGATGGTTTCACTAGCTTCCCTTGCTTGTGCTTTGATCTAAGGATCTCGTACATAATGTCAATTTTTATCCGTAAGCTTCAAGTTTGACTTTCTTTTGGAGCTATTTAGCGCAAAATGTGTGTGTGTGTGTGTGTGTGTATATATATATATATATATATATATATATATATATATATATATATGTGTGTGTGTGTGTGTGTGTATGTTTTACCCCTTGCTTTTACTTGTAATTGTGATCCTTCAAGATCCTGGTCACTTAGACAAGGTTCATCTCTCCTTGAAGTTCCATATCTACCCCTCCTTGATCTCTCACCCTCTATCTCTTCCAAAATTCTTTGAGGAAAATTTTTCATCTATGCGTTAGTGGTATGGAAGCCGGAAGAGAACAGTAGAAAACTATCAATTCTACACAACAAACTTCTAACTTTATATCATCAAGATTCTACAAATTTATATAAAAGGGAAGAGACTAGAGACTCTTAGCAGAAATTGGACATGGTCAAATTCCTTAATGGGGATTACCTGAAACTTTGAGGAAGGAAACAACAATTTGGACATGAACAACACACTCTAAATTCAATTCTGTCCAGATTATCATCTGTGGGAATTAAATTTGATAATGAGACTCAAGCTTCGCTGCTACTAGCTTCTCTACCTGATAGCTGGTCCGGAACAGTTACTGCTGTTACGAGTTCCGTGGGGACCAGTGGTATGACTTTTGAAGGGGTTAGAGATTTGGTTCTAGGCGAGGATATCAGACGCAAGAATCAAGGTGGATCTTCCTCTTCTGATTTATTAAATGTCGGAAGAGGTAGAGGGAATAGCAGGAGCAGTGGGAGTCGGGGAAAAAGTTCTTCTAGAACTTTGAAGAATGTGAAATGCTGGAACTGTCAAGAAGTGGGACATGTTAAGAGTCAATGTCCAAAGAAAGAATTGAACATTGCTGGTGCTGAGAGTGTGTCTGAGGATGATGCATTGATACTCAGTATGGAAAGTTCTGTAGACTCTTGGGTCATGGATTCAGGGGCTTCGTTTCACGCCATGGACAACGGGGAAACGATGGTGAATCTAAAAGAAGGAGATTTTGGGAAGGTACGGTTGGCAAATGACGAGATGCTTCAGGTAACGAGCATGGGAGATATTGATCTGGTTACTTCATTGGGAACTACATGGAACTTGAAAAATGTCAAGGTGATTCCGGAGCTGAAAAAGAAATTGATTTCTGTTGGTCAGCTGGATAAACAAGGACTGGAAGTAAGGTTTGGTGGTGGTAAATGGATGGTGGTCAATGGTAATTCGGTGATTGCTCAAGGTTTGAAGCGTGGGTCATTATATATGGTTGAGGTACCTGCTGAGGGAAGTATGACCGTCCCTGTTAAGCAAGACAAAATCTGGTTCGCTAAATCTACGGCTAAGAGAGTTCATTTTGCAAACATGAATTCTGGACCCAAAGAGATGTTAGCTGAACGAGTCGGAAAGTCTAAACCAGTCAGGAGATTCTGTGATAGTGGGAGCACGGGACGTGTTTCGGGTACAGTTACAAAGAGCCGTTGGGTTTTGAAGACTAAGACTGAAAATTTCTCTCCTGTTGGATGTTTGCTATGTTTGGAGAGTGTTAGTGGTCCTCGGTGTATCTCTGGATCCAGTGGAGTGTCCAAACCAGTTGAGATAGAGGATGAGTCGGTGGTGGGATTAGCCACGGCTGAGTTGGAGCTAGTGGGAGCTTCAACTGGCCCTTCTAGTAATTGATGATGAGGGGCGGCTGCAACTAGAGAAATCAGACTAAGTTTTAGCTTGTTCATTGGAACTGGAAGCCTAAAAGGACTTGGTTGTTTTTTAAGATTACTGGAATAATTGAGAGTTGAATGGCGGAGAAAAGCTAAAGTTGTTCAAGCCTCCAAGTGGGAGATTGTTAAGATTTATGGAGTCTTGAACAAATTGACAAGTTCCTAAGAGTTCAAGGGCCATAAATGTAACTTGACAAATTAAACAATTAAATTGTTTAATATTTGTTTATTGGACGGTGAGTGGACGGAAAAAGTATTAATTGTTTAATGGAATCCATGTGCAATTTTGTTTCGGCCGTAACATGTGAATGGAAGAAAATTCAAATGGTGGCTGGTCAAACAAAACGGCTCCTCTCTCAGTGTATATATGTGCGATGTAACTCTTTGTATTTGTGCCGAGTGATATTACCATTTGTAATCTTATAGTGAGTTAATATAAAATCTAGTTGCGCCTGTGGACGTAGGATTTACACCGAATCCGAACCACGTAAAATCCTTGTGTTCCTTCTTGCTTTATTTCCTTCGTGTGTTTGTATGTGTGATAGTGTTTCCGCTGCGTGTACCCGGTCCGGTTCCTAACAAGCATGTCGTATCTTCACCCTAGGGGATCAGATCTATAGTTTGGGGCTTTAGACTCGCTGGAAAAGTGGCTGAATGTGTTAAGACTAGGAAAACTCGACGATTTGCCCTGCCAAATTGGCGAGTTGACTCGGGTTTCCCCGATCCTCTGGACACTATACGAACTCGATGAGTTGTCCTGTCAACTCGGCGAGTTGACTAAAGTTTTTCCCGGTTTTATAAGAACAGAAGGAACTCGACGAGTCATCAAGTGCACTCGACGAGTTGGGTCAACATGGACTGTTGACTTTGACTTTGACAATGGTTGACCAAGTTTGACTTTAAGGGTATCTGTGGTATTTCGGGATTTTGACGAAGTTGGTCACATGGTGGTTGTAGGCAGTTGAGTTCGGAGCTGTGAGTTGGGATTTGATCTTATCAGTTCAACATTTCTTGAGAGGTGAGTCTCCTCACCATACCAATGGGTCGAAGGTACCAAGGCCGACCCATTTATCTAGTTGTGATGATTATTGCAGATGTGCTATCGATACATTATGTATTTATGTGAAGACCATGCGGGGGTTCCTATGGCAATTAGTTATATGTGGCATGCTAGTTGATTGTGTGGTATGTGGTATGCTAGCTGTCTTTGTGATACTTGCATGGAAGACCCCGGGGGGGGGGGGGTTCCCGAGGTAGTTGGATATAAGACCATGTAGGGGGTTCCCATGGCATTCCAGGCTAAGACCATGTGGGGGTTCTCATGACAGTTGGTTAAGACCCTGTGGGGGTTCCCATGACAGTTAGATAAGACCATGTGGTGGTTCCCATGGCAGTGGGCTAAGACCATGAGGGGGTTCCTATGGCACCCGATGTAAGACCTTGGAGGGTTTCCATGGCAACCTTATATGTTTATATGCATGACTTATGTGGTTTATGTAGCTGATATAGCTAATATGGTTTATGTGATTATGTGGATTGTGTGGGGTATGCTCTGGAGAACTCACTAAGCATTAGCTTACAGTTTGTTGGTTGTTTCAAGTACTTCAGGATCTAAGGGCAAGAGCCCGGCGTGATGGCGCGACATGCACTCTCTGGCGTGTTATTTGGTATACTCTGATTTAATGAATAATTTATCTGATGATTATGGATTTTGAAAACAAATGTGATTGAAATTTTATATATTATGGAAATGTTTGGGTTATTTAAAAATGAAAAGTTTTATTGGAAATTTGGGCTGTTACAAAGAAGCATAGGAGGAGGAGGCAAGAAGAAGAAAGAGACGTCCGATATATCCAAGGCTAAAAAATTAATTATAATTATAAATACCAAAATATATTACTGCCTATGTGGATTAGATGATGTGGCTCCCAAAATATAAAGATAAATTAATTATAAATACCATGTCAGCCTTGTTACCGGGTAACCTGATAAATTCGAACATAATGACTTTGACAGGTCAAATATGAGTTTAGTGGTCTATTGCGCAAAAAATAACTTTAATGATCAAATCGAATAAATGACAAAATTTTAATGTGTTACAGTGTTATTTTCCCTATTGGTAACTAAAAAGACCGATGTAATTATACTTAGCATCGGTGTAGCCTCTCTAGCATAGTTAACAACATGTCGGTAAATTTAAAAAATATCAATATATTCACGACAACTATGATCCATCAACCATATCCGTTGTTTCAAAATTTTAGTAATGAATATATCATATTTGCATTTCTTTTTTATATTTGTAATCCACATTATAATTTGTATATCATATGTTAGAAGAGTTTATATAACTAATCACTTATATATTAAAATACTATAGTAGATTAAAAATTCATAGCACAACTAAAAAAGACATCCATAGACAACAAATATTATTAAAACCATGGACTAAATTGGATACAATGTATGAAATAGTAAAATACAGATTATCAGTTTAGAACAATGCTTTCGTAATTATTTATCATCTCCAAACTCAAACTGTGGTTTCAAGAAATGGATAATCGGTGTAGCCAACAACCGGATCTTCTGTGTAAAATGTCTCTCTATTATGCTTGTTAAGTGGAGCATCAAGCTCAAATCTTTTCGGTAAATCAGGGTTAGCCAAGAACAAACGACCATATCCTACAAGATCTGCATGCTTCTGAGTTATAGCATCATTACCATCTTCCCTCTCGTATCCACCAGCAACAATGAAAGTAGCATTAAACGCCTCTCTCATGGCTCCCAAACTGACTGTGCATTCCCTTCGCTCTTCCAGAAGTTTCATCCTTGGTTCCACCATGTGGCAATAGAGAATCCCGTATTTGTTTAGTGATTTCACCATGTAAAGACCTAAAGCTTCTGGGTTTGAATCTCCTGAACCCATGTAATTTGCAAATGGTGAAAGCCTGATGCCAACTCTATTGGCTCCGATCTCATTTATCACAGCTTCCACTACTTCCATGGCAAATCTGCATCGATTCTCTATTGAACCTCCATATGCATCAGTCCGATCATTGATTTCATCTTTCAAGAACTGGTCGATTAGATACCCATGAGCCCCATGAATCTCAACGCCATCAAATCCTATATAACATGTATTGGATTTCAATTCATTATATAAAAGGAATTAAACATCAGAAAACTGGTCCAAAACTCCATGAACACTTACCAGCTTCCATAGCATTTCTTGCTGCAACTCTGTAATCATTAACAATTCCACTAATTTCCTTGGTTTTTAGTCTTCGAGGAGGTGGAAATTCAAACAAAACATGGCCGTTGCTGTCAACTACAGGACTACATTGTTTGTCTGTGGAAGAGACAGGTGATACTCCAGCATTTGGCTCATAACCTACACTTAAGATGATTTAATTTCTAGATTTTATTTCGCAATTAATTCGTAATAAAAGATGATAAAAGAAAAGAAAAACATACTTTGATCGGAAACTCTCCCAAGGTGCCAGAGTTGACAAAAGAAGACGCCGCCTTTTGCATGAACAGCATCTACAATGGGTTTCCAGGCATCGATGTGTTCCTCTGACCATATTCCAGGTGCATTCTTATACCTTAAAATAACCAAATAAAACAAACATATATTCAGTAGTATTTTCACTACTTTAAATGAGATGTATAAACTAAAAGAAATATATATGTTTTATGAAAATGACCCTTGGGCTGCAAGTGATATGAGAGTGCCTTCAGTGATCAAAAATCCTCCTTCGGTTGTTCTTTGAGAGTAATATAAGATAGCATTTGATTGAGGAATGCTATTGTAAGATCTAAACCTTGTCAGTGGAGCTAACACAATCCTGCAAAACGTCAAACCACTTGAAGTCAACTTGTAATAGTTTAAATCTTTATCACGGAACTTCATATATGTATATTAGTATATCATATATACAATATAATATATAATGCATCAAGTGCTGCAGAAACAAAAGGAATGATATATAGTACCTGTGCGCAAGTTGGAAATTACCCATTTTGTAAGGGGTTAGAAGTGGGATTTGGTCTTTCATCTCTGATCTCTCCCTCCTAATGATTCTCATGATAACATATTGTCTCTGGTATATATAATAGAGTCTAATTATAAGAAAAAAAATGGGAGAATTGTTCAATCAAAAACAATATACTAGTTTTAAAGCATAATATATATACCCTACTAGGTGTAATACCCATGTATTACATGCGTTCATTTTAAACATTTGAGAAATTTGAATTTATAAGAAAAAAATAGAAAAATATTGAATTATTAAAATTAAATTGTTTGTTTTTTTATTTTAAATTAAACAAATAATTTAGATAAATAAACAAATGAAACTTATTGAACTTTAATTTAGAAAATTTGAAATTAGAAGGAAGTCAATTAATGAAAATGATATGCATTTATTATTACATTTATTGCAATTATTATATTTAAATATTATGTGGAAATTAATAAAATGAAAAAAACCATAAAATGCCATGTGGAAAAAAATTAATTGAAAATAATCACAAAATGACATGTGGCTAAATCAATAAGAGTGTGACATGTGACAAAAAGTTCTTTATTTATTAGAGAGGATGATAAGAATGTTGGCTCTATCCAGCAGCCACAAGTCAAGGTTGGAAAGTGGCCATGCTCAACGAAATTTTAGTCTTTCTCCTTTCATAAATAAGTAATATTTATTATTTAAAACTCTAATGTTAATTTGACATATTATATAGTTTTTAGCATAAGGTCTAGATTTATTTTAAAGTATTGCTTGTCATACACAAGGGAGCAACACTTCACTTTTATAATTGTATCATCGTTACTATACATATAAGTTTTATTTTTTTAAATTTCACTTCACACAAATTTTAATTATTTTCTAAATGTATATTGAATATTGGTCTATTTAAAAAAAACCATTGTTTTTGTCTTAATTACTTATGATTGTGTGTATATTGATGACATGCTCGATGCTGCAAGATACAAGACTAACCACTACACCGAAAGGTTAACTAAACCAGGAGTTCGAGACGAAAAATTTAGGTGATGCAAAGATATTTTTCGGTATGGATATTACAAGAAATCAATACATATGCATGTTGTATTTAAGTAAAAGCATCTACATTAACAAAGTCTTACACGACTTTAACATGCAAAATGCAAAACCAATAAGTACAACACATGTTCGTCATTTTTTGCTATCTTCCCAACTTTATCTTCAATCAAATGACGAAATTGATCTGCCCTCTAAAGTTTCTTATTCAAATGCATTTAGATCATTAAGGTATACAACCATTAGTTCATGACCCAACTTATCACATGCATTGAGTGTTGTAAGGATAACCTTGGAAATAAACATTAAAAATTGGCATAATGGATATTCTATAATTCTAATGCCTTAAATATACTTTTAAGGCCTGTTTCGAGTTTGTAAAATCAACATATGCGTTATGTACATATGTTCATTTTGATTATGTAGGCAATCTTGGCAAAAGAAGATGATCACTCATGGGTATATTTTTGAATGTTGTGAGTTGGAAGGCTACAATACTTCTACTTTTGCTTTTGTCTACCATGGAAGCTAAAAACATGGCTATTCTATTACTTGTAAAGAGGATACTTGGCTTTAAGGGTTGTACAACGAGGGGTGTGGTGATTTATCTTGCACTTATAATTTATCGTGATAGTCAAACTGCTATATACCTCATGAAAATTTTTATGTTTCATGGAGTAAAGCATATTGACATTTGGTAATATTGCATCAGAGATGTCAATGCACAAGGATATAACAAAGTGAGTAAGGTCGACACCAATGAAAACCTCGTCGACATGATGACAAAGTTGGTTCCAATTGCCAAATATGAGTTATAACTAAGTTTGGTTGATGTTTAAGTTCAAGTCCTTAGGGACTTTTGGAACTACTTATTTTTATTCATATTGAAGGTTGAAGGTTCATTTAAAAAAATATATATTTTTCCTTGTTAAAAGTTTTTGATGTTTGAGGACTTAAACATATATTGAAAATGGTTTTATTACCTTTAGAATATTCTTTTAAATCACTATTACAAACAAGGTGTTTCAGTAAATGTTCTTGGACTTTTACATGACTCGTTTACTTAAATAGATACTAATTTATTGTCTAATTACATATTTAGGTGAAAAAGATTAAAACTATGGGGGTTTCTAAATTGACACCCCTTAGACACCCTATGAACATTTTTATTAAAAGTCAACATATAATAAACTATTTATGATTTGCTTTTCCGGAAAACAATATAAATTCAACCAATAAATATATCTTAAAAATCAAATAGGGTGTCTATATGGAAAAATATGGTGTATTTTTAGCCAACCCCAAAACTATTGGTTTGGGTCAACATCAATAAGATGTTCAACGTGCCCCCATTCTATATGCACAATTTAGGTTGATAAATCCTAAAGCACAAGACCTAACATCGACACTCGTGAAACCTACATTCCTAGCTTCTACACTCCCAAAACCTATAAGTTGTAGCTAACATAATTAGTCCAAATGTGTTTTTACGGAAGAAGGTGATGTTTTTATCTATGCCATAGTGGATCCTCTTATAGACATCGTCTGGATGGTTGGATAACAAGGTAAGTCTTGAAACTAGTTTTGTTTTTTTACTTAACAAATTAAGTAAATTGATATTAACTTTATTTTTTCTTAATCAATAACATCTTATAATATTGAGTACTTTCTTGTTATACTTGAGTGATACTGGCATTCGATTTACTTTTTTATACATTATTTTTGCATATTTTTTAGTAGTTGTTAAATAATCAATGCATATTTTCATTTTAGTTATTTTAATACTATTTCAGGTACTTTATAGTTTCTATGTTTAATTTTAGATTTGGACAATACTAGAGCAATGTGGGAGATGGAGGGTGAGCTTGTGGTAACTGGGCTAATACGAGGAATTGGAAGAGAAGAAACTTGGGCTTGCAAATGGAAGATTGGTCTAACTCTTGGAGGCAAAAGAAGTGGCCTTTAAGACATTGTCACTTAGGCTACGGAGAATGTAATATTGGGCTAAAGTTAGTCAAAAGATGATCCATGGTGTAAGGAGTTAAGAAGAGACAAGAAGAAATCACACATACGATTATTGAAAATGACAAAAAAAATGCAAAATTCGAATCTTAACATGGTAACTTTGTTTGTTACACCCTGCTAAAGCAGAAACACGCTGTATGACATCACACGGTTCCATACCACAAGGTACAAGAAACACCAACTATAGTTATTATCATTAAAAATTACATTGTTGTCGATTACATCGTTTCCAAAAAAATTGTTCAAAAGCTACATAAATTATCTGCAACAAGCACTCATGTAGAAAGCGACCAAGAGTGTGATCCTATGTGCCAACTACAAACCAAAACCTGAAAAGCATGACGAAAAGAGAGTGTCAACTATGGAAATAGTTAATGAGTTCATAGGTTTTCAAGTATACATTGTTATAGAATTGAAAGAAATCAATTTGATAATAAGTGGTGTAAATAAACAGTTGTTTTCAAACATATGATTTAGATATATGCCTAATTATTTATGCCTTGAGTTTACAACCAAACCTATTGACCTGAATTCCTCTAATGTGTCATGTTTTATCATTAATATGTGAATATATTGGTAATAAGTGAGTGAGGAATGTGATCCCAAATAGGGATATCCATAAAAACCATCAGCTCAAAAGTGAGTTTATATGATCTATAGTGTATTCGGAGACTTAACATACGATAGTATCTCAATCATACAACAATTACAAATAGGAGAATACATACATGTATATCAACAAATTTTCCAAGAATACATACAAAAGTATAAATAATTTGTAATATGGAAGTCATGCTTTTCACCCCAAAACATTAAAGCAATAACAAGGTCTATGAATAATAGCGAGGAAATTGAGTGATTCCTAATGTGACGGTCCTGTGTGGTTAGAAATAACAACTCCTATTTGCGTCCTATGAAACATAAAGGTTCTAATGAGATTTCGTCTAGCTTTCAATGGTCTAGTAACACTTAGTCAGCTACTTGATTTATAAAGTGTCTTTAGATTGTTTGATTTTTACTTTTAGATGGAACTATGGAAAGCTTTATAAACATAATTCCAAAATCACATGAAGATCAATTCCAAAAATCACCAAACCATATTTGCATCACCTAACAGGTGATATAAGGCTTTTGTGAATTTTTGGGAATTTGCAGGTTTGTATATTATTTATTTCAATTTTATGCTTGAAATAATAAAGAAATTAAAAATAAATAGGAAACAGTCATAAAAAACTATGGAACTTTTGAGAATTGTAGGTTTGTATATTATTTATTTCAATTTTATGCTTGAAACAATCAAGAAATTAAAAATAAATAGGAAACAGTCATAAAAAACTACGAAACTTTTACCAGTGTTATGTATATTATATTGAATGTCAGATTAAAATTTGTAAGTTATTTTGAACACCAGAACTTTAATTATTTTTCTAAATTCCTCACTATATATAAGGCAAAAATCATATATATATATATATATATATATATATATATATATATATATATATATCAAATACTATCCAAATTAGATGAAAAATTAACTTGAGTTCTTATTTATAATATACAAAATTCCTACAAATTTTCAGAATTTATTTCCTTTTGGAAGTATTTGTTTGAAAAATATAACTCTATTTCTAACTATTTTTATACAAATATAAATAAAAGACAATTGTAGCTGAAATTTTCCAGATTATTTCTTCATACCATATATTCACTGAAAAAACCAGATTCCATTTTTTTGGTGCTTGATGGAAGAATTTAAGCTACATAAGTTATGAGAAAACATTGCTTATTTGTTTCTTGTTGGAAAAATGTAATTGATAATTTGGCAATTTTTATAAATACTTCAATAGACCTTTAAATAAAAATATTCTTACTCTACTGAGTTTATCATATTAGGAAGTGGTAATAATTTCGCCATATTTCTAAAGTGGAGAAATTTTTTTAAACATGCATCACAAAACACTCACTATAGAAAATAATGAGTTTAATATATTAGGAAGTGGTAATAATTTCCCCATATTTCTAAAGTGGAGAAATTCT